TTTTTTTTAAACCAATTGGCACGCTCTGGTATCCAATTCACTGAGATAAACAGCATTAATGGCACTTGTGGCATTAGTGGCATTGCTATGCATAACTTGACATTGAAACTCATAAAGCATCAAATGCCTAATATGGAATTTATCCACAATTTGTTCTTCCATTCTTATAGTTCACTCAAATTTCTTCAAAATTTAACAATCAGCACACTGTGTCAACACATTTAACTAGAACATAGGTTTCCTTGCTAAGTTACATTATTGTCATTAGATGGCAATGTTTATTAAATTTGGAAAAAACGACACTATTTACTCCTGATACGATACTGTTGTGAAGAAATATTAATAGAAACTAAGTGACCAAGAAAGTTTCAACATTCTGCGATGAATGCAAAGGAAAACCACACTTTTTGACTGAAAAAAATCCATTCCATCCCATCTGTTTTTAATAACCTAACCTAAACCTATTAAAATTGCATCATTATGTATACTTATATAATAAATATCAATAAAAACAATATTCAGCTACTGTTCTTTCCTTAAGTTCTTCAATTTTTAGTATGCATCTGTTAAATTTGTGCAGCACTTGACGTGTTAAGCATCCTCACTTTGCCCTCCCCCCTCTCCTTTATCACACTCCGTATCGTACAAGAGTTAATGCAAAACTGTGCTTCAAAGACGCACGTATTTTCATATCAGAAATGAGTTAACCTCATTTCATTGAGTCAATTTTTAGTTAACCTAAACCTAACCTAAAAATAGGAGGTCCTATAATCTCCGATCTTCTCGATCTTTTCTGTTCTTTCTCCCCCCTCCCCTCTTTTTCCTCATCGATGTCGTTTTTGTCGTTCCAGGGATCCAAACATCGGCGACGTTGAATCCTGGACGCAAGCTTACTGGCCGCCGCACACCGCCGCCAAGAAGGAATACCTGACGTTGGACACGAACAGCTCGGAAATCGGTAACGGGCCGAGAGCGAGGCAGTGCACCTTCTGGAAGAAATACCTGCCGCAACTGCTCGCCGCCACCTGTGAGTAACATTTCCAACTTGCCAACTTCGTTGCTCTCGCGAGGGTATATACGAAACCTTTCCCCGTTTCGTTCGGTTTCTTCGTTCGTTCGTTCGTTCGTTCGCCCTTCGATCGCGCTCCTACGTGACACCTGTTGAGTGGAAAATACGTTTCATTAACCTGAAGCTGCGGTCGTCCGACACGGTCGTCGAAAGCAAATCAATCGGCTCGATTACTTTTTCCGGTCGGCGGATTTCATTCGTGTGCGCTCTCGTACTACCAAACTCTCGAACTTGAACTTCCGGGTTTCACGTGCCCTTCCCCTGCCCTCCCCCAGGCAAGACGATCGTTTCTCGAAAATCCAGTCTCCAAGGTTCTTCACGAACCAGAACAGACGCGAGAAAATCATTTTTTCCCTTCATTTCTTCGAATATACTTTAAAACAAAAGTCGACCAATCGGCCAATCTTCTCGCACAGAGAACGTAGAAGACTTGCTTTATATAAAATTCTGGTCGTTTGCTCGTCTGTCTCGCTAGATGTGAGCAAAAGAAAAAATAAATAAAGATTGTCATTTGCACCTTTCTGCGTGCAAGAAGGGAAACAAAAACTTTGTTAGACAGTGTGTCGTACATTTCGTTCGATTCTGCCATCTTTCGGTCAGTTTCAGAGTTGTTGACTTCTTTGACGAAAGAACGACTACTTAACGCTACATACAAGAACTACCAAAATAGTCAAAATGACCAATTTCGAATTTTTGTTAAGAATTTTTACAAAATTAATAAAATGTCTTTCTTCTTAAATCTAAATGGTCTTTCGAAAACTTTGCAAATAAAAGCTCGTGTGATTTATTATATGACGAAGTTTCCCCATTTTCTTTATTCTAAACTTTATGCCTCAGTCATCGATAGTTCTAATGTTAACGCAATGAAATTTAGCAAACAAATTCCAACACTGTTTCAAGGTTCCTTTACCATACATCTATGGCTGATAATTAATTAATTAATTGATAAAAAGATATAAAAGGATTAATTGATAAAAAGTTAATTTTGTACAAGCTTGTAGTGTTTTCTTTTTTTTTGTTTCTTCCTTTTCAAGAAAGTAGTATACCGAAATATGAGGAGAAACGTTCCTTGTCGATTCTCCATTTTGAAATCGACATTTTGAAATTCTCTTTTTCTGAAACAAGCTCGAACAATTATAGGTTATGT